TTGTAGATGTGTATGCCACTAATTTTGATTTAGGAGAATTCTAGGATTAAACATGATCTTTATTTAAAAAGATATACAGTATCCTGCATTAAAGAGTTATCCCTTGATAGAATATTACTAATTTTTTGCTAATTTTCATCATGGAATAAAGACTTATAAATTGTTAGTGACAAGGGTTGTGGTCAAACTAAAACATCTGTAATCTATCATAACTCATTGAACCCATCACCTTTGCAACTCTGTAAAAAAGCTAATCAACATCTTTACATTTTATTGCAAAACTCAAGTCTTTCAATATCAGCACTGAGGTCTTGCTATTATTTTTTTAAAGTGTTATATTAAGCAGGGGCGGATCCAAGATTTAAAAAAGGGGGGTTCAAAATGTTTTCCAAAAACACCCCAAGATGAAATGGGGTCAAAATTTTGATTCCTAGATGGCTGTAAATGAGCTTTCTCGACTTCTGAGGAGTCTTTTAATGACCTTAAAGTTCTTCAAAATTCAAGGTTTTCCCCCTCTTGAGAAAAGGTCAGGTAATTTTATTTCATTCTTTAGGCCTATCATAGAGGGAAAAAAATCAAAGACAGGCAATATATTATCATATTCCAACAACATTGAGTAGTTAGATGTGTAGTCTTTCTTCCATGGATCGGAGAACCGATAGGCCTGAAGAATGCACTTTCGTGCATAAATTATTACGACGGTGAACCAAAAACAGTGTGTATTACTTAATTGAAAACTAGATGGGCTAAGCCTAGTTTGTCTGATCTTCCAACCATTTATTGCTCTCTTATTCTTCCATATATTAATTATTGCAATATTGTCTGGGCTAACAACTATTCTTCCAACCTAAATAAAATACATCTTCTTCCAAAAAAGGCTGCCTGTCTTATTTCCAGAGCACATGATCTTGCCCATTCTAACAAATTACTTTCTAATCTTCATTTGTTAACTGTTCATGACATTAATAAACTTCAGCAATGCCTTTTTGTTTATAAAAATATCTATTCTCTTCTTCCATCAAACTTCTCTTGCAATTTTATTCATAATTCTTCATAATTCTTATAATACCAGGACCTCCAATGAAATCCATCTTCCCCAGTTCAAGCTAACACTCCTAAAGCATAACATACGGTATAGTGGATTGAAATTATTTAACTCCCTAAAGAAATTTCATCTGCCCCTTCAATGATTATATTTCAAGCCTAATAAATTAAAAACTTATTTCTTCTCCTTTTATGATTAATTTTCCTCAAAATTTGTCCAGCTATTAACCAGTGCTTCTGTGTCATTTGTCCTCTTTTTTTCCCCATCTTTCCTGATGTTTGTCTATTGTCTTTTTTTTGTTTTGTTTCTGTTTTTGATGTGTTTTGAAATTTACTATTATCATTGTTTATTATCCGACTAGCTCGACACAAGTTTCGGTTTAACCTTTTAAACCGAATTTACTTCCAGGGCTGTTGCCTCTTTCATTGTGTGTATATATATATATATATATATAAAACAAAAAACTCCGGAGAGAAAGTAATAAGTTGCCAGGTATATATTTATTTAATAGTGAGCAAACGTTTTCGGTTATCAACCTTTGTCAAGCTATATATATATATATATAGTGTGTGTAGACACTATACCATTTCTTGAATCAATAGGAACATGTGATGCCATAGTAGTATGTCAAGCAGGGCCGTAAAGGCACTTTTCGTTAAAGGGTTGTGCTTGACACGATTATGACATTACTATTCTTCTTCACACACTGTTTATATTTTTTCTATTTTTTTTATTTTAAGTCATATAATATTTTTCTATTCCAATAGTGTTTTTGTCAGAGATTTAATAGGACTAATGTTTTGCCCTACCTAACATGAGGGCAGTATAAGAGGCAGTAGAGTATATTGACCCTAACGGCCGCCCATACAAAAAAGATCTATTAATCAGTCGAGTGTTTCTAGAGCTTCTCATCAGGTCTAATAATACAGTAATGATAAAAATAATTTGCCCTAACAGGCGCTCATACAAAAAAGATCTAAGTAATCAGCACAAAAAAATATATATATTAATCAATCAGCCGAGTGTTTCTAGAGCTCCTCATGGGAGCTAAAAAAATGGGAGGAAAAAGAAATCTGTCACTGTCAGATTTTTTAATGAATTTGGAATATTTCTGTATTCAGATTCAGTGGCAGCCACTTTTTAAGAATACACGGCATACTAAGTTTTTACAAAAGAGGCCTAGATTACACCCTCGTAAAGGTTTTAGCAATACAGTACAATAATACAGTCTACTTTGAATATTAATGATCATGTAAACAATAATATGATTACTGTATATTAATGACGTCAAGATATCACGCCGACGAGATAAAGCAAAGTAAGAAAACAACTGAAATTTATATATATATCCCTAACCACAGCCTCCTAGAGCCTAACACATTTTCTTTCGAAAATCTAACATCTCCAATTTGTATTTATTAATTTGTTTAAAAATCCGAATAAAATGAAAATATAATACTGTAACTTAATTCCATAGTTAAAAATTGTTATTGGTCTTTTCTGCAGTTCATTTTGTGAACATGTTACAGAATGTATACTTGCTTTGGTTTCTTTTACAATTTTTATGTTTGAATGTTTTTAAATGTTTGTTTTATCGAATATCTTAAGAAATGACTAAATAAAATTTTCATTAAACAATAACACATTAACATAATATTTCAACAGATAATTTTATTCCAATTCGTGTTAAAGACAATAAAAACAATATTTTTATTAAAAATTATTGACAGAAATATATTGTGAAATGCAATGCTTGTTCCATAAATAAGCCACTGCCAAGGTTTTTTTTTTTTTTTTTTTTGGACAAATAGAAATAATAAGCCATGTCATAATCAGACTACCAAATTGTATTTACTGATATAGATATGACAACTTGACAAGACAATATTCCAGTTTCAGCCTACACCAATATTTTTCCAGTAATATTCTTATTAGTTTATTTTAAAACTTGTATTATTTTATAATGCTAATAATATGATTTTTTATGTTATTGTAGTCTAAAATAGCCTTCTGCATAAAAATGAGGCAAACTAATGATCAAGCATGACAAACTCTGATGATGTCAGATTTAAAGGGACATTTGTAGTGGGTATGCGAAAACACTACTAAAAAAAAACAATGATAAAGAAGTATTCAATGAAAGATTTTAAGAAGCAATAAACATCGCAGAAGGTTTGTGCATATATCAAGTCAAGAATCTACTAGACTGGCATAGAAAACAAAATGTGTGTATGTATTACTATATTCAAGACATAGTGACCTTTTGAAAAACACTGGAAACAAGATTTTATTTTACCACACATATTTTGTCTACACATAGGGCAGAGCAGCTTTATTGTTATTGAAACATTACAAAAAATAAGAAAGTTTTGTTAACACTGTTGCACACAGTACATATAGATAGTTCAGTGAAGAATAAGGTAAATCTCAATCCCGTCGGAGTGGGAACCTCTCCTCCTTGGCTCCATCTTTATCGATGACATTGATGATGATTCCATCACCAGTATATATGTCCCTTTCAGCTGCTGAGATAAAGACATCTTTGACTAGTGCGATGGCTTTTTCTTTACTAAGGGGTACATGATCAGCTCCTTCCTGGTTCTTGAATCCAATCTAAATTTAAGAGGAAAATTATTGAAGAAACAACTGTCAGATATATAAAGAAAAAAATAATAAAAGAACTCTATGAGTACATAATAATATAATAATAATAATGGTACATGAAAATGATAAAATAAATGGTTCATTTTGAAAAATAAAACACTTTTAAAAATAGTATTTAATTTATAAAAAGATATGTTAATAACATGATAATACAATGTAGTAATATTTTAAAGATATTTTGCATGTGCAAAATAATAAATAAATATATCTTAATTATTTCGATGGATGTCCCGCAGTACCGGCTGCTGCTTGGAGATCAGATTCAATACTAGTCATTAAGAGAAACCTTGGTGGTCTAGTAGTTATGACAGCAGGCTAGTTATCTTCCCACCCAAATCACAAATTTTCTTCGCAAGCATTTGGGAAAGTACTGTACTCGGTACAACAACGGTAGGCAAAACATCATTCTTTCTCAATGACTAACATTGCCTACATATTCCTATGCTTTGCATAGATATTACAATGAATAGAAGCATGTTCATTTGTGAAGCATGATATCTCAAAATTATATTTTTATTACAGGTAATACACAAGTAGTAGAAATTTAAAACCAACATTTTTAATACATACTATACATATTTAAACTTGTCCAAGCAGCTAAAATGATTTTTACAATAGTTATACTTAATACAATTGAATTACCAGCTATAGCTAGTAAATTATAAATACTGTACCTGATTATCCAATAATGGTTGGAGCATAGAACTGGCTGAGCCCCCTGCCCTGAAAGTCTCTCTCTCATAAGAACCAATAGGATCAAAACTGTATACACAGCCTTTACCTACAAAGACAGATTACTAGTTAAAATGCAAAATGTTTAATCTTTATTACAAAGAGAAAAATATGTTACATTCAGTACATTTTTAACTGTCTAAAAAAAAATAGGGGAGGAGGGTGTGCATACAGTGGCGGCTCTAGTATAGATTTTCTTGGGGGGGGGGGGCCTGAGCTGTCCGACAGGGGGACTTGAGCTTGTAGGCCTGAGCTGAGGGAAGGGTTCGAGAGGGGGTTCCCCCTCCCAAATGAGATTTTTTTAAGAATAGGAACCTCTGGATGACCAGAAATGACACTCTCAGACTGTGACAGATGTGTTGGCTTGGCATGGGCCTATTTTTATATCTTTTTTACTCTGACTGCCCGACAAGCTCTGTCCAATGGGGGGGGGGGCACTTGACCTTTCTGGTGGGGGGACTTAAGCCCCTGCTGCCTGCACCCCCCACCCCACCTGGCACCGACACTGTGTGCATATACACCCCCTGGATATGGGCCTGATGCAAAAACTAAAATTGTAGTTAAATTTGAATGCTTTCATGCTAACAATACATAAAAAAAATAAAAAATCATAAATATGTAAGGGGTTACTTATTTGTCTCTCATATAATGTGTTACATTTAATGCATGAATTACATGCTACTGTATAATGAATACCCATTTCTGATGTTCAATGTACAAACATTAATCTTTTTCTCAAACCTTGTCCAGCCGAAATCTACCAATAAGGATATAAGTTACACTACATACCTTCATCATCAATTCCAGCAAGGATATTGTAGACATAATATGGGAAAAATCGACGATAGTAAAGGATTGTGGACAACATGGCAGCTACAGCACTGCAACTCATCTTGGTGTGATGGGTATACTCATAAGACTGTACAGAGAAACAAAACAAAAAATTATGTAAAAAATTACCATTAATATACAGAATAAGTGTTCCTCCTTCTGTGGTCCACTTTTATGTGATGTCTGTAGTAAGTCATTACAGTTTGAATTTTTCAGTATCATTTTTATTGCTCATATTGAATAATGTGCTATATAATAACCAACAATTACACAAACCTTTAACCTTGAAGCTAAAACTTTGTTTAAGGTGAGGCAATCGCCATGGAAACCAGCACATCCTAGGACAGTGGTATCAGTTCTGTGGGTAAGTAAAAATGCATAATTGTACAGTGCTTAAAGTATAATGAATATGAATCTAAAAATAAAATTACCATAATAACATAAATTAACATAAACGTATAAAAATTATTTAATAATTTTATATTACTAATATTTCCTTATCATGATTAGCACATGATTGCAAAGGGAAAAGAAGCATAGATGGACAATTTAACAAAATTTGGCAAGTTCTGTAAGAAACAATTATTAATATTAATCTACAGTATTATTGTCTTTTATTTAAATGCTTGAACAATATGTCAAACCACTCAACGCCATTACAGTACAACAAATATAATTAAATATACAGTGCATGTGCTTTTATGACAAGCTGAGAGCCTTTTTCATTCACTTATAGAAACCTGTTATGAGATTACTTACATCCAAGATCAGATATATTGAATTTCAGTTCAAAATAATAGTTTTAGTTGCTTGTAGTCTTATTTTCTATTTATTACACTGTACAAAATTGGATTGTCAGATAATTAAAGGTTTCTGGACAGAACGGCAAAAAACCAAAACGGCAATAAGTCGAAACGGCAAAAAACCAAAACGGCAACACTTTTCAACCAGAACGGCAATAAGTCAAAACGGCAATAAGTCAAAACGGCAAGACCAAAACGGCAGTAGGCCTAAGTCAAAATGGCAATAAATAAAAATCACAATATAAAAGCAATAAACATTTAAATAATTAAAACTTTAAAATACAGACAAAATGAGGCTAATCAATTTATGTCAAAAGTAAAAAAGCGCGAAAGAAAAAAAAACACTACAATAATAATAATTGATATTAATAATGATAATAATGGTAATAATAATAATGATGATGATGACAACAACAATAATAATAATAATAATAATAATAAACATACAAATTCAATAGCTAAACAATTTATGTCATAAAGTAAAAATGCGCGAAAGAAAAAAATACTTTAAAGAACAACAACATTAATAATAATAATAATAATAATAATAATAATAATATTAATAATAATAATAATAATAATAATAATAATAATAATAATATTAACAACATACAATACAATTTAATAATAAAAAGATTGGGGGAACATATGTAATATATAAAATATAAAAGCAGTGAACATTTAAATAATTAAAACCTTAAAATACAGATAAAATTAGGCTAAACAATATAATGCCATGAAAGTAATTAACGGGAGAGAAAAAATAATAATGATAATAAATAACACTTTAAAATAATATAGGCCTAGTCATGGATGTGTAAAAAAAACCAAAACATAACAAAAAACAAAACACGATTCAGAAAACTATAAACTGCTGCCCGCACCCGGTGGCACTTCATTCTTGGCATTGATTTTTGCTCCTTTGCTGTTTTGGTCTATGCCTATTGCTGTTTTGGTAGTTGTCATTGCCGTTTTGGTCTGTTGCCGTTTTGGTACTTACAGTATCATTGCCGTTTTGGTTTATTATCGTTTTAGTCATTGCCGTTTTAGTTTTTTGCCGTTTTGACCTGATCCATAATTAAGGATCACATTTAGATCAACAATTTAATGTTGATACTTACAGTTTGTATGTTTTTGGTTGATTCCTACTGTGAATGGAGAATCCCTCACTAAGCCTGGTGTCTGATGCCACTATTGCGAAGTCTTCACCAGCAATGGCCAGCACCGTCCTGTAAAGAAATTTTGAATTTGTCATTATTTACCACTGAAATATTCTTCTACAGACAAAATTAATTCTAATCACAAAACATGTTGTTAGTCTAAAACAGAATTCTGCAGCATGATAGCATCTGTGAGGCCTTGTACACGTGCAAACATAACCCATTGGAGATATATTCTAGTCAAACTTTCAACCATTTAGTAGAGTAGGCCTACTCCAAATGCAATAAAATAAATTTCCAAACACCAAAGTATAATTTTTCTACAGTATAACATATAATTCATGAGAAAAAAAGATTTATCTTAATTATTTTCTTTTCAATTTGAATTTTGGTGAAAAACTCTGCAGTTCAAAACGTGCCAACCACAGTCCCAGGATTGATTTGATTATTGCATGTCTTAAGTCCCTTTTGTATATAACAACTCGGCAGGAAAGTAGGCTCAAAGCGAGCAATTTTTGAACGATGTTGTCATGCTGGTAGCAGCATTTTATTGGATAATGCATTTATATATAGCCACGGCAAAGAATAAAAGATATAAATTAAAATATGTTGTTTGCCCTCCCCACAACAATCTTAATAGGCCTAGCTAGGCCCCTATAGAGGCTAGGCTAGTCCTATACTTTTTAATAAATCAATTTACAATTTAGGCCTTACACATATTTATTTATTCCTAGGCCTAGCTAGGCCTCCTATTTGTTAACATGCAACTTGCTATACATACATGCGCTCAGAAACTTCAAATGTTTATTTTACTATTTAGTACAGTAGTACTTAGGCTAAGGTTGCAATAAAGAAGTACTGTCTTCGGCTGGGATGTCTTTGTAATAGGCCCTAATTATGGCTCAGTTTTTTTGCAGTTAATGGATCACACCTGATCCAGGCCAAGCCAATACATAGGCCCCCCCCCCCCCCCCCCCCCTAGGCTAGGCCCTAGCTAAGCCTCATCATAGGCTAGGCTAGCTATGGCAGCATATTATGAACCTAGGCCTAGGTCCTGGGGAAGGTGAGCATGTGATCTGTTTATTTTTCATGAATCGGTAAATATCCTTTCATTAAAGTTCAAAGTTCTAACATTTATTCATAAAGTTCCACATATTATAGTGAATTTAAGGAACAGTGCTATAGTTTACAACACGATTACTCACAGATTTATGGTCTATAGAGGGCCTATTTATTTATAATAATAATCTGGGGCGGATTGCTATAAGCAGTCTTTAGACGGTCTTAACGGTTAGCCGGCTATAATTGTGACGTCACTACTGGTCTATAATTATAGACCATTGCTATACCCCGGTCTAACCAGTTAGCCGTCTTAAATTTTAAAGCCTACTCGGCTTAAAACGGTCTTAAATCATTTTCATCATGACGTTCTGCTGATAAATTCAACAGTGCAATGGCAAGACCTAGATCGTCAAAGTCGGAGAATTGAACCACTAATTCTCCACACACTTCTCAGCGTCTGTAAAAATAGGTCTACGGCGTTTATTTACGTTCATTTTGATACATTTCACGCATGACGTCGCCCTCAATCTTACGTTACCACCATGGAGTGCTTGTTTGCATTTCAATACTCAAAGCGGTCTTAGAAAAGACTGTTTTATAGCAATGGTCTTAGAGGTATGACTTAAGACCATCTAAGTGATAAAGCCGGCTTTATTTGAGGAGTTAAGACTACCAGTTAAGACCGTTTTATAGCAATCCGCCCCAGCCAGTAGTTATAAGACAAGAGTTCAAACAAGTTAGTTAAGTCATTAAATTAATCGAACTGACTGAAAACATACAGTACAAAACGTGTTCCATACATCGCAGCAGAACTTGTTCGCGGCCGAAACGGTCCTATGATTACAGTACACCACCAGCGGTCCTAGGCTACCTCTGGCGTAGGGTAGCTGAGCCAGGCCTAGGCCCTGGCCTGGTACTAGCCTAGGCCTAGCCTAGTAGGAGGCTAGAGGGGAGCCTAGGCTAGGTCTTAGATCAGTCTATCAAAAATAGGCCTAAACTGTGGTAGGTCTATTTAGCTTACCCTCCATTCATTGCATAAGGAGAAAATCTATGCTGTCTTCCTTCTGCAGATTCTTGTATTGGGTAAGTAAAATCCATGATCAAAATATTCTTTGCCCAAAAATACAAAAATGATTTTCCTCAAGTCACGGTGTTACCCGGCCCTCTATTGTCCACTTCCAGCAAGGCCGGTCACAAGCAAAGAAAGGTCATTAACTGTTTACCCGCACACTGCTGACTCTTTTCTCTGAACGTGCCAGTCAATTCGAGCGGATGCCAGTTCGAGCGGATGCATTTAGTGCGAACTACAACAAGGGCGAATTTATCGTCGCCCTATTTTAGTATTTCTTTGTTTTAAATGCAAAAAATGCTCTGTGCACTAAAGTTCTAAAATGTTTTTGGTACTTTTTGATAATTATTCCATGTTTGAATTACAGTCTTGGCAAATCCGACTAAAAAATGGCCGCTAGAAATCACTTAGGCCATATATTTTAAAACTATAGAATTTCGCACGTAGAATTCACGGTTTTTGTCTCCAGTTAGTTGAATTATATATAGTGTTGTAACAGTATTTGTAGATTTACGATTTAGGCCTATATTTGTAAATGGGAGTAAATGATTGTAATTTTATTCACCATAGAAATTTAAATAATTTTTACGTATTGTATCAAGCCGGTGCACAAAGTAGTGTGACACAGGGGCGGATCCAGTGTAGGGGACACGGGAGGCACGTGTCCCCCTCGTCTTGCCACTAAATTTTAAAAATGTCAATGCATATTAATGTTATGTGCTACTCACTTATCTATTCTGAAACTGTTGTGCCCCCACCACGCCGTTTGAAAAATACTGGATCCGTTTTCAGCCCCTGTGACAATTAAGACTATCAACACAGTAATAGACATCATACCAATTTTCTCCACTATTCAACCATTCGTCTATATAGTTCAAAACCCACTTTTTTTTAAACTTAGCATGTGGAAATAATAACAATGACTTAACATTATTCTTATGAGCGTAGTTTTTTTTTAATTGTAAATTGTTAACCTTATAAATCAATTAAATACGACTTTTTTTATACATAAGGCTATGGGCTTCTCCCCCGGATCCCACCGGGGCTTTCCCCCTGGCTCCAGTGGCGTATCTAGAAGTCTTGAAATGGGGGTGCCGAAGGTGAAGTAGGGGGCTCGATGGTCAGTTGAGGGATGCTATCAGGGTCCCCCCCCCCCTTTGTACACAGGGTTAAAATTTTAACGCTTGTTCTTGCTAGCCAATACAAATTCTTTCCAAGGATCACTCAAAATAAATAATTCTAATCTATGTAAATATGCATCAGCACATGTTATACATATGCCTACTATAATAACACATAGGCCCAAGTGTGATTTTTAAAAACCTTAATTCCCAGGCCAGGTCTTTTTTTCTTTTTTTCTTTAATTATTATTGTGCTGCTGCTGCTGCTGCTGTTGTTGTTGTTGTTGTATATAAAGAAATGGAGAAAAAAAGAAAATTATATTCAAAGCTATGCTCCAGAGGAAAATTATGTTGGTAGTGCTGTAGAACGGATTTTTCCAAGACACGAAAAACATATTTGACAAAACACTCGGAAGCGGCTGATAAGATACAGATTTTTTATTATTTAAAAACGGGGGACAGGGGGAGGTACGGATCTTTTCCTTACACTTTTTAAATAATAAAAAATCTGTATCTCACTAACCGTTTCGAGTTTTTCGTCTAATATGCTTTTTTGTACAAAGAAATTTCCTCCTAAGGTGCCTGGAATTAGACTGAGAGTGATTTCCAGCCATCTAGTTCCTGACAAAAACACCCCTAAGTTATCCAGGACGTATACAGGGGGAGCCGTGGGAGCCGCGGCGCTCCCCCACTCCTTTGTACACAGTGTTAAAATTTTAAAGCTTGTTCTTGCTAGCCAATACAAATTCTTTCCAAGGATCACTCAAAATAAATACTTCTAATCTATGTAAATATGCATCAGCACATGTTATATATAATTATATGCCTACTATAATAACACATACTGTCCAAGCGTGATTTTTAAAAATCTTAAATCCGTTTAAGTCCCAGGCAAGGTCTTTCAGATACAGAAATGTGATATTGTATGGTTCAGTTTGGTTTTTTTATCGTTTTGGAAGCTCGATAAAGTTTTGATTTAATACTACCGCACTACTAGTTAATAATAATAATTATTATTATGATGAGATGATGATGACGATGATGATAATAGATAGTAATATTAAAAAGTGATGAAAATTGTGCTAAAGGCGAAAAAGTCAGTTATGATTTGTTGATCACAATTATTATAGTATAGTTAAAGTTTAGTAAGCTATAGTTATGCCTGAATTGTTTGGATATTAAGTAGATCCCTGATAAAAGATTATGAAAAATTTGTTTGCGCTTGATTTTGACTATATAATGGTAATGTAATGACGATGAATTTTACTATATAAAAGTGTCATTTTCGGCCATCTAGAGGTACTATTTCCTCAAATTTTCGTACCTCAGCCCCAACCATGGTGGGGCTGAGTGGTTGTGAAATCACGGCTTTGAAGTATATAAAGTACCATACTCAAAAACAATGTTTAGGCCTATAAGCTTTATTTTCTATGGTACATCACACATTAAAGATCTCTATGGTTGCCGAAAATCCCCTGATAAATGATAATGAGAAATTTGTTGGCGCTTCATTTTGAGTATGTTATCAATGCTGTAGCCAGCTATTGGGACAGTTGGACTGTCCCACAAAATTTCTTTATTGGGTCATTTTCAAAAATAGGTCTAAATTATGCTGTTTGAGCGCAAAATGAGTCCTGATTTTGAAAAGAAAAGAAGAAAATTGCAAATCGAATCAATCATTATTTTGCTAACATAGGTTCTGAGTTAGCGGCTAAGTTTCATAATGAAGAATATAATTTATCTTCAGATGTTGAAAAAAAGTACTAAAAGTACTGAAACTGAAAATTACATTGTGTTTCATTTACAACATGTGGAAACTGAGGAGGTTTTTAAATTACTAATGTCTCTTTCACCTAATAAATCTACTGGTCCGGATACATTTCCGTCTAGAGGCTGATTAAACTCTCAGCACCATTCATTGTCCAGGTGATAACGCAGATTATCAACCACTCTATAACTACAGGTAAATTTCCCTTGTTGCTTAAACTCGCAAGGGTAATTCCTTTGTTTAAGACAGGAGATCATAGTGATCCTGGCAACTACCGGCCAATATCTATACTTTCAATTATTTCAAAGTTGTTTGAAAGAGATATATTTAATCAGTTATATAAGTTTTTAGATGAAAATAATCTTTTAAGTAATGTTCAATCTGGTTTTCGACCAATACATTCAACATGTACATCTCTTATTTATGTAACTGAACAGTGGATAGATTTTATTGATAAAGGAAATGTGATTGGGTTAGTCACACTTGATCTAAAAAAAAGCGTTCGACTCGGTCGACCACATATACTTTTGTATAAATTAGGTAAACTTGGGTTGGATAATGTCATTGCAGTGGTTCAAATCTTATCTTTCAAATAGAAAACAGTTTACGGTTGTTGGAGAGACCAGATCTGAGATTTTGAACGTAAATTATGTGTCCCTCAAGGGTCCATACTCGGCCCTATTCTTTTTACGATTTTTGTTAAAATTTTCCAAATTGTGTGTTGTCCTGTAGGCCTAGTGTTAACATGTTTGCGGACGATACCGCAATATTTTACGCGGGAGAACAAGTGAAGAAATTAGTGAAATGTTAAATATTGATCTTGCTAATGTAAATAACTGGCTTAAGCAAAATAAAATCACCTTAAATACGAAAAATGTGAAGTAATGCTAATTGGGTCTCACCAGAAATTAAGATTTGTTAATCAGGTACTTAACATTAAAATTGGAAGTGAGCACATTAAACAAGTCGAATCATGCAAATATTTAGGGATTATAATTGACAGACACTAAACTTGGGAAAAACAAATTGATTTAGTTTGCTCTAAATCAATTTGTTTTTCTCAAGTTGATTTAGTTTGCTCTAAAGTTTCTAAGGGTATTGGTGCCTTAAAAAAATGTTTTGTCCCTAATGATTGTTTAATTACCTTATATAATTCTATCATCTTGCCTCATTTTGAGTATTGTTGCGAAGTTTGGGGCAACTTTAGTGATACTTTGCCTGCAAAACTTCAAAGATTTCAAAATAGGGCGGGACGTGTTATCCTCGGATGCAAATGGGATGAACCAGCTGCAACAGTGTTAGACAGTCTGAGCTGGCAAAGTCTGTATCTCGGTAGATCCAGGAAAGTGTCATTTTTTATGTATAAATGTGTCAAACTACTACTTATGCCCTTATATATTCAAAATCTTTTTAAATTTGAAAAACAAAGTGTTTACACTTTGCGACATTTTGATTGCCTTAAACTCCATATTCCTAAACCTAACGGTAATTTCAAGAAACGTAGCATAGTGTATAGGGGTTCTCATCAATGGAATTGTCTCCCAGAGATTAGATCTTCGCCTTCTCTTTCCATTTTTAAATCAAAATTGTAATGTTATTCATAGATTTAATTATTATTCTCTTATTATTATTATTATTATTATTATTATTATTATTATTATTATTATTATTATTATTATTATTATTATTATTTATATTTAATTATTATTCTCTTATTATTATTATTATACTATATATAATTCTATTATACATTATATTATATTTGTCTTTTGGGTATACACGACCATTTGTAAAACAACCTTTGTGTTGAAATGCTATCGTGTCTAAATACAATAAATGAAATGAAATAAATGATGCTATAACTCGCAAAATAAGGTGATTTTAGGTGATTTTTAACTACTTGCAATTGATTGAAAGCCTGAGACCCGGCCGAAAGCAAATTGCTAGCTCAAAATAGGAAATTTTAAAGTAATTCGTAGGCTTACATAACTCGCACAGGCTGTTGTTCGCTCAAGTGAATTTTTTCTCCGCTCGAATAAATTCCGCTCGAACTGGCATCCGCTCGAATTGACTGGTTCCCTGGTGGAAAGGTTCATGCTTACTTTATCGAAATGGTAACAGTTCAATGAAATTTTCAGTAATTTATTAAACTTACCAGGCAGTGCAATAGTAATACAATAGTAGTACTTATGTATAGTGCGTAGGCCTATGCATTTTCCTAGGCTGCTGGGTTTGAATGAAATTACGGTACCAGCAGGAGCAGCTAGGAGGAGGATTTCCCTCCTGGCTGAGAGAGGCCTCTAGTCTAGGGTAGGCCTAGTAGTCAAAGTCAACCCGTACCCATGCCAACCCATGCCCACAGAATTTTGGCGTAGGGGCCTATGTAGCTAGGCCTGTTTATAGCAGTACCCCTATGATATTTTAATGTATTTTTGGGAAACCTCGATAGTTGATAGTTTGTTCTTTGCTTTGTTTGGACAGGCCTGGTGGACCAAAGCCATAAAAACTCCCTATTCTATATGAACCCTACTAATGATTTTTATTCTGAGAGACCCTGACTGAAGCTCTAACCCTTTTCGTTCGGACCTTCTCCTCCGTCGGACTACCTGTTGGTAAATTCTGGAGCTACCAACCACTGTTAAACACCAATTTATTTTAATTTTATCCACACATTGTTCTTGTGAATCAATTATTTGCATTCAATTTCAAAAGGTTAATTGCATTAATGCAAACTGAAAAAATTATGTGGCTTAATAGAGGCAACTCTTTACCGATTTCCTTATAGCAATCAAAACCAATTAATTTCATCAAATTAATATATCTCTGACAAGCTCCAGGTTGTTTATTGTGTACCTCAAGACTCAGTCCTTGGTCCTATTATTTTATAATAATCTTCCAAGCTTTTCCATTAAAAAAAATTGATTGTTCACCGACGACATCAATTTCTTTTAATTATTTTTCTCTAAATGTTCTTGATTTATCCAATTACCCAATGTTTAATTCAGAAGGTTATGGTGTAATGCAAACATAAGTCTGAAAATTAATGTAAATGAAATTAAGTTGATTATTTCAATCCAGGTATTAACAACTTGGCTTGCCATATTATCCCTCAACGGTGAGATTATTTACTAGGTATTAGTGGCATATCCAGGATTTAAAAGGAATGGGGGTGAATAGAAATACAGTATTACATCTACAGGACTGAACTTTACGAAAGGCGCAAAACTAGGGAACTGAGCATATTGATGGCTATGACAGTATCTTGGTTGTAATGTAACTATAAGTGTAATGTAACTATAAGTGTAATGTAACTTTAACTATAATTTTTTTTTAAGTTTTAATTTAAAGGAGGGTGCTCCATTGCGTATACCTTTTCAGTATTATGTTTGATAAATTCCTTTCTTGGAAGTTAACATTCAATTAATATGAAAATTGAAACGTTACAAAAAAAGTTGTTCTGTTTTAATAAAATTTAAAGATTTTTTATTCCGGAAAAAAAGCTCCAACCACATACTCTTTAAAAAAAAAAACTTGTACATAGTATGAAAGTGTGGACAAGCATTTTTAGTTTAACAATTTTTATTTATTTAAGAAATTTGTTAAGGAATCGTTCATATAACTTTCTTGTTTGACTATACGTTTTGCTGATGAGTGCTTGTGGATCCCAAACATTTATTGTACACTTTTGGAATGCCCGCCTCCCCACTCACCAGCAATCTGTATACTCTCTGTTTCAATGGATTTTTTTTTTCTTTCAATTTTAATGTTTTAATCTTGTATTGTTTATACATATATATTTTTATGGAGGAAATTATAATAATAATAATAATAATAATAATAATATATAATAAATATATATGTATTACGCAATCTTAAGTTTAAAAGGTTAAGTCTATAATGTAGAGTCTACAGGTTAGATAAATTTTTTTATTTTTTTTCAGCTTTTCTACTCTTTTTTTAAGTCTCTAATTGGCAAAGATGTGGTAGTAGAGCTGAAAAATGATTTGAGGTAAGTACATGGTACAATTTAACACCATAGGGTGATCAAAGTCATTTTGAAAATTATAGTACAGGTATTGTGATCTCTAAACGTAACACACTTTGATATTGATTTTAATTTATTTCTTATAGCATATGTGGAACTTTGCATTCTGTAGATCAATTTCTCAATATCAAATTAACAGACATTAGTGTGACAGACCCTGAGAAATACCCACACATGGTAAGGAATATCTTTATTAAGCAATTACTTATGCAGTTTTAGTGTGTGTTGCCCCCTTGTGGGTATAGACACTATGTTATCTGGCAGTTAACCCTGCAAAAGCGAGTAAATCTGGTTAAGGCGCATGATAGGTACTACTACCTGGAGGTAGGGGGCGCCCTATTGGAAAACAAATGGGGTTCGAAAGTTAAACTTGCGTTTAAAACTCGAACATGCGACATAGTTTCCGTTCCTTGGCACGTATTGGCCAAGGACATTTATTTCATTTTTTATATAAGGCCTTTGGCCCAAATAAAATATAATAGCTATTTACAGAGGGAATGATCACTTCTACGTTTAAATGAGTGATAAAGAAATTTACATAAACAACTTATTGTATTGATATCAGTAGTGGACATTAATTGAGTCAACTTAACTTTGGATGGATTAACAATAAAATACTTGAATATATAATGTTTACGAATATCAGTGTAACAAGGGCAAAGTAAAGTAAAATGGTACTCATCTTCAACTAAATTTAATGTACAATGTTTGCATAATCTATCTTTTTTATCAATTTTTGACCATCTACCAGTTTCAATTTCTAATTCAAGGACTCCTAAACTTAGTAAGAATACGTCTATAATTAGAGATAGAGATGCAGCACCCATTTGATACGAATGCCTTTTATGGTATTTTGAAGGATGCCATCTAGAACGTGGAAGTACTTTTTGAGAGGCAGTAGACACACACTTCTGCTGGAAGCCTTTATTTTTTCATGTACATTATTTAAAATATATCAGAAAATTGTCTTTAGTACACTACAATTAATATAAAAAACATATAGAATATCAAAACATCAAAGAACATCAAAACGGACAATATAAAAAAACATGCAAAATAGAAAAATATCAAATTCAAATACAATGTACAAAAGGGAAAATTTAAATTCAGAATATCAAAAAGAATTAATTAGAAAGATAAATATTATTATTACAAAAAATTACATTAAAAAGTCTATATACAATAAATCGAATATCAAAAATAGAAGAATTTAACAGTTACCTAGACACCTGATATCAAATTCAATATACAATGTACAAAAGGGAAAATTTAAAATTCAGAATATCAAAAAGAATTAATTAGAAAGATAAATATAATTATTACAAAAAAATTACATTAAAAAGTCTATATACAATAAATCGAATATCAAAAATAGAAGAATTTAACAGTTACCTAGACACCTGATTATTAAAAAATTTAACTGAAGTAGGAATAAATGATTTACTGAATCGGCTGGTTCGGGTGTAATGTGATCGAAGGCGAAGTGATGAGGGAAGGAATTGATATTCTTGAAAAAGGGGATGGGAAGGTTGGGATCGAATACGTGTGACCATATTTAAAACAGCAATTTCGTATTTATATTTAATATCACAAAAATTTGTTGAAGCAATCTTACTTGCTCTACGTGTGATTCTACCAAGAAGACTTTGGTCTTTAGTACTAAGATTACCACCCCAGACGATCAAACAGAAATAAATTATACTGGATATTATTGAAGTATAAAACAATTCGAGAATTTTGGTGTCAATTTTAAATGGTTTAAATGCAAAAAAATGCTCTGATTACTAAGGTTCTGAAAGGTTTTTAGTACTTTTTGATAATTACTCCATGTTTGAATTACAGTCTTGGCAACTCCGACTACCAAGATGGCCGCTAACAAGTTAAAACTATAATAGTGTATGTTTGCTAGAGTGCACGAGAAGCACACACACAAGACGAGTGACCATTATTTTTTTCAAAATTATATTTGTAATTGAGTTATGCTACTCACTTATCTATTCTGGAACTGTTGTGTGCCCCCTTCCCCTTTGAAAATGTCAAATTTTTAAAAGTAATTCATATATAACTCGCACAGGTTGTTGTTCGCACAAGTGAATCTTCTTCCGCTCAAGCTCGAATTCGCTCGAATTGGCCTTCGCTCGAAGTAGCATCCGCTTTAATTGACTAGTTCCCCATCCAAATATAACTACAGTTGACCTTACCTACAGTAAGTAGAATCCAAAGTGGCATTGAAAAATTGTTTGACTTAGATAAAATTTGACTTACAGATCGTTAATTAATGGAAAACACAACAATTCGGCATGTAAAATAAAATTAACTTAGAAATTACAGTATTTGAGTTCGGCAAAGTCAACTTAGGAAAGTTTAACTGTATAAAGAAAATAAAATCACATTTCATTTCTCTACAGTGCAATGCATCACTACTTACTAATATAAAAAAAAAATTACTATTAATCACTTGTCACCATTAATCAGCTGAATTGTGGCTCATATGGCACTAGTTTTGATACATTAGGGACTTGTTTCTCTAGTGATGATAAATTGCTATTTAAAAAAAGAAATTAATACAAACATCTATGTAACACTAATCCTTGTCCTACTGTATGTTTACAATGAATAAAAGTAGTCTCATGCATATATATTATTGATAAATAGCTATCATGGGTATGTCATTTATGTAAAAATTCATAACAAATAAACAAATAATGATTTAGTGATCAAATGTATGGCATTTATAGTGCAAAATTGCATACTAAACATTTTAGCACTCAAAATCTAAGAACAGATAAACATTTACACCTTAATGTGTGACCTGTTTGACAAAAGCGGACAGTATGCTCAATATTATGTTTATAATATAATTTTTGTATTAGGAATTGCAGCACATGTTAAATATTTCAACTTATTTCAGACTGTCGCCCATAGAAATATGAAATTAAACACAAACGAAAGATTCTGTATCAAATACACTGGCAGATCATGCTGTACATTACAATTACTGTATACACAGTACCTAAAATAACATTTCTCTCCAGGCTTTGCACAGTTTTGATTCGTTTAGCATATACTCTCTAACACATTGAATTAGCCTATTATTACTTGTCTGAAACCTATTCATGAAATTAAAAACCGACTTTCTCAAACTCATTGAAACTAGGCAAGCCATTTTCCACAAATAATCAGCTAGCACTCGTACACGGGCTGTTTATGCATCATACAAAAACAATCATTACAGACCTTTAGACGATGAAAATCTTTTTTTCTTCGACCAAAGGGATGAGCAGTACATACAGTATTAACACAGCAAGTCAACATTTTTTGAGCAGTGAGCAACTTATCTACAATGACCAGTGATTTACTCGATCGAAAGCCTTGCTTGCACATCAAGGAAACATGAATATATAGGACTACCGTTAGGATTATAGTAATCAACTATCTGTTTAAAAAACACATATACATGTGTCTCTGGAATGATTTGCTCTAAAGGAAAATTGATAATAATCAGCGTTCATCTTTTTGTCACAAAATTTTATAAGAATCAGTTCACACATTTTGAATCAATTTCTGTGTATAAATATATCAGTAATCATTTAAAGACATTTGTACAGTAGTAAATAAGCTTGTTGATCAGTATTAACTTGTTTAAATAATCTCTGTTGGAAGCTATTACAGTATATAAATGATCTAATTTTAGGGGGCAGGGAGGGGGGGTTTCGACTATACTAATGAATATCAGTGACGGTATCCATGGGGTTCAGTCGAAAGCAATTTCCCCCCATTGGACAAGCATGGACCACTGTAGTATGACGCCACAACAAGATCTTTGTTTTAAAAATATTCCTTTGATGTTTCAAATTGCCTATTAAGTGTCCTAACATAATCTTTCCCCAGTACATAAATTTCTGGAGGCATCACTGGATTAAAACAGAAAATCTGGGTCTACTATTTATGTACACACATCAGCCATTACTAATATGAACTTATATAGTATTTCAACAGCAAAAACTATTTTTCTGCATTCCCTGATAACCTATCATTTCTGTTTTTGGGTCCGCGCAAGACGGACCCTAGAACCTCACTGTTGTTGTTGTTGTTACCAGAACTTTAAAAGCGAGCTCGCCAGTTTTGAACATACGTGCCAGAAATTACACATAAACTAGGTGATTTCCAACAAACGTTCATGGCCCTTTTTTAAAGTTGGACCCCAGGGTGCCCCATACACCTACAAAACTAAATAGGGGCTTCAGCAAGGACTGTACATTACTATCATTACCACTAATAGGGCACGTTGCATGGATGGCACGGTTGGTTAAGAATGTGTACTAAAGAGGCAAAGGTCGTGACTACTTTTTTATACATTGTATTTTTATACAAATGAACATTCAAATTATTTCGATCTTATTAGCTCTTCCAAAAAACCCAATATAATAAACTTGTGCCACTGTGTACTATATTTAAGCATGAAGGAACACGTGCGCAAGTGGTCGCTATTGATAATGGTTTATAATAAAATTAACAAAAACACTAATAATAACTTTTATTTTATGTAGGTTCATTTCATTCATGTACATACATTCAGTCATATAATAATATGAATTTATGTAATATTTTAACATTAAATACCATTTTTTTTCATTCTCAAATGATTACCTACAATTTCTCTTTATATAATAATTTATAATACAAAAGATTAATATCGAAAACAATAATAACAGTTTTTATTTTTCATGTAGGTTCACTTCAGTTTTTTAACGAAGACTGGTATTCCAAGAGACCATGTCCTTAAACCACTGCAACACTACTGCAAGCTTAGCATTTAAAACCCATTTGTTTCCAACAATTTAAGTTTGTTTTGGAGTAATGTTAGGCACAATGTTTTATGATATTCCATTGCTCTTTAAACATGAACTTTTACCTTTTACACGTTTATCGATAACTATGTTATTAATGTGTACGGCGCTCTCATCTGTTTTGGAAGGGTGCCTAAATTATTATTATTATTATTCAAACAATTGATGATTCTTTGTCACATTTAATTCACCTGCAGTGTACATCTGTCAAAGGAGTCACTGGTCTTGACTCTGTGAGGTCTGATTTTTCCCTTCGCATCTGGCGGCGTTTACGCCTCTGCTCCCCTTCTCTCTTCATTTGGAATTTCTGAAGTTGGTCAGCAACCTCCACATTTGGACTCAATGTTTTTTCCATCGGCTCCCCAGTCACTGGTGAATTGTCATGTTGTTTGAGATGTTCTTATCATAAAAAGAAAATGAAGAAATATTTAATAATTAACTCAATAAATAATGAGATAAGTACTGCTAATGCTTAAGTATACTGTGAAATGCTAGCAATTAACAATTCAGGCCTACCAATATCTATATGAGGCTTGCCATGACAAAACCAACATCAGTGACCAAAACAATAAAATTGACTTTTTAATATATTCTTATTCTCAACACTATTAAAGTTTAAAATCACAGGTCATTTACTGGATTCGACCTGCTATCAGTAGTGCCTGCAAGAGTTTTGCAATCTGAGGAGGATGGGGAGGGGGGGTAAGATGATTAAGTAGGCGCTAGGTCGCAAATTAAGGTGATGTGAGGTAATTACTTTGAACTCCTTGAGCGTGATTTTTTGCTTCTGACATTTTCAATGGATGGACAAAATGGGAGTGCAAGCTTTTTTTTTATGGGAAGGGGGTTGGGGCACCCCTATATACGCCACTGTACAAGCTTTATTCATGACCAAGGCATGTGTCCCATTATTAAGAAGGGTTTTTGAGGGGGAGTTTATTCCAACTATTGGAACTACAACACATAATTACCGTCAAAATGTGTAACAATACATAAAAATATGCCCGGGTCGGGGTTTATCGAGGGTCCCAGGGTATGATTGTAATGATTGCCTTTTTTTTTTGTCTTTAAAATGTTTATCTGGTTTAATGTTTAACTTGTAAAATTTTCTCCATTTCAGTTTTAAACTGCCTTTGCACATTGTTTTAAATAAAGATACCAAAGATAGAATGACCTGAAAAAATCTTAGGTTAGTTTCACACCAGATCCTTAATATCCCGATCGGTTAGCTCTAACCATTACCAGGAAGTGAGCGGTTAGCGGGTGCTGTCGTTTAACAAGCTAAGTGCGTTCCATCATTAACTAATCAGACATACGCATTTTCAATTTCCTATAGACAAGTGATCTCGCCCTCATCTTCTTGATAGCATAAATAATAGCAAGATGCTATTTATTTAGGTCCTGCTAACCGTTAGTTGATGTGTGTGTGTGTGAACAAAGCCTTAGACAGGGCCTTCAGGGCCCCCCCCAACACCCCCACCCCTAAGCCTCTTCTAATTTCTTATTTGTCGCACTAAACCTACCGCTTATATTTTCATAATCGTAAGTATTATTATCAGCCGCTATTACTGGTTGTTTCATCACACGCCTACTGATTGGACATAAGAGGTGGGATGGAACAGTTACATCACCAACATCACTCCCAGAAGAAGAATGTGGCCTCTGTGGTAAAGAAAATAGGCATCAGAATCACAAACTAGAAAATCTGACTTGATTACAGGAACTTATACCTTGAGTAAAGTTCCTTAACATTCATTATATTTTAATTAGGATCCACACAACAAATATTCTTTAATGTAAACTCATAATAGTTATGAATTACATTATTACTGTAAATTAATAATTACAATTTGATTTATAGTAATACAGTAGTACATAGTTATTAAAAACAAATAATTATTTTTTTGTATTCACATTTATTGTGGTAAAGAAAAAAAAGTAATAAAAGGGTATTTTTGACATATATTTTATTATTTATTTATTCAAATATTGTTTAAAGTATGACCCCAACAACAAAAGCAATCAAGACAATATATGAACTAAATCAATAATCAAAACCCAAGCTCAGCACAGCTCCAATACATTACACAGAATCTCCGAGCTGGAAAGAAGTGCAATTTCAGCTATTGTTCTAGCACCAAAAACCCCTACTATGCCCCTGGTCTGTTCTATATGAAATGTCCAGATGAATAAAACAAGTGTTTTAAGTACCGGTTTTGTTTTCTTAGCATACTGCTTTGCACGTCGCAGGAAACGATTAACTTCTTTTTTGTCCAGTCCCATGTCTGTCAGTTCATCGCCTTCAATGTAGGGAACATCATCAAACACAACAAACTCACTCCTGAAGACTTTTTCATATTTATGAAGGTTGATGTCCTTCAGGAACTGGAAAAGCTTTGCATCTGAATATGAGCAATAACAAATATTATTATGTACATGATAACGGTGATTTACAGAATGTAGGCCTACATATCAAATTCAAGGATACTTTCAATTGTGCAATGTGATCTATTCTGTCAATGATACATTCAAACACTATTATTATTATTATTAGCGTTTCCAATGGCAGCAAAACAGTTAATTGTTTTTAGTCTGATTTTGTTTTACTTTATTCTGGTTTCCTATGTTTTTTCACAGGGTTTTCTACCCTTGGTAATTTCCAAAAATTCTACCTTACGAACAGCATCAAGGAACCATATAATGTAATAGAAAACAAGCTCCGATGAGGGCAGTATAATAGAGGCAGTAGATCTAAAAAAGATCTATTAAGCAATCAACTATTAATCAATCAGCCTCATCAGGGTAGTATAATAATAGAGGCAGTAAATCTAAAAAAGATTTATTAATCAATAATTAACTAATAATCAATCGAGTGTTTCTAAAACTCCTCATCGGAGCTAAAAATTACCTTCCAAGCCATTATACCATAATCATAATGTTTAAATTTCCAGGAGCCATCCAAAAAACATAACTTTAGATTTAATTTTTTAATAGTTTTAAAGACACCAACAATATACCATTGCAACAGTTTAGGGCTCGTTCACAATTCCCAACATTTTGCATGTGTAAAATTAGTACTTTTTTGGTAGCTTCTCACTCTCCTCTGAAATGGTACATACAAATGTTGAGTTTGCAATCTCCCTTTTTTTCCCTTTGTATAGATCTAATACTGTGCTCGGTTGCATAAAAATGTCTAACATTCTTGACTGCATTATAACTGTCATAAAATTCTGTTATTTTAAACAAATGCAGGTTATTTTGAATCAATATATTCCTGCATGTGTAGTACCGTACATAGTTGACTACTCAACTTCTCCCTAGTCTATGACTACTTTTTGTACACTTGTGAAAATGTTGACGATTGTGAACGACCCATAAGTGGCAAGGGATTGAATATTTTGTAATCACCAAGACTTCCTTCGTTGTCCGGAATGTTCTTGTTACCTAAATGGTAGACATAGCTATCATTGGATCGTGGACAAATCTCATCATACAATGGTGGAGGGGGGACAGATGGTACTAGGTAGTCACTCTCAGGCCTTGAGGCTCTTGGAATGGTCTGCATGTACTGTGGTTGTAGTCCAATATGATAGTCATTACCTGAATTAAATGTGAATTAAAACCATAGTTACCAACCGTCTCGCATCATGCGGGACGTCGTCCCGCATTTCAAAGTGATTTTGGATGAAACACGCATTTTGCAGAAACACATGCCTGATCATAAATTTGTCACACATTTAGCGAAGTCTATGCGTGATAAAGAATTATCACGAATTAAGGGGAAAATGTATTTAAAATTAGAAGAAATTGATTTTATTAAAAATATAAAAATGGTCATATGCAGAACTTGAGTCATTAGAGGGTTTTCGTATTTCATTCGAGAATCAATCCACCAAGAATTTTCTCTTTCCCGAACAAAACAACCCAGCCAACCACGTGTTTAGTATAATTTTGGATTATGTGACTACAGAAACTGGACCCGCCCCCTCCCCCCCAATCCCAACCAGTACGCCTGGGGTAGTCACACATTTCAAATCTCTCAAATTGGTAACTATGTAAAGCTAACAATTAAATATGTTAGATGTTTATATTATTTCATTCACAAACTTTAAATATATTTCCTTTGAAGAAAAATTTAGTCCGAATTCAGGAGCAGCGGCCCCAATCACTGGGTTGGTAACTTCCAAGGGAGTGGCCGATGGAAAGCTCCAAGTGAGCCAAATTTTATAGTGTGCTTTATGACTAAAGTAAACTGAAGTAGTGTTTATTAGCTCTCTTAAAGATGCACTGTCTGTCATGAGCTAATACAAATGAAAAATAAATTTTAAATGCTATTTAGAATAAAAAATTTGAATGTGAAAAAATGTGCTGTCAATTAACACCCAGTTAAATAATATCTGTGCATATATACACTAAAATTGGCTGGTTGCAATGGGTACGGGAATTGTTATTGTATGAACATACTCTTAAGGATTCTTTGCTGGAAAAATATCATTCTCTATCGTAATGTTTTTGCTGTGCTGTGTAATATGAATGGTAATGGATATTTATAAAGCACCTTCCACAATAAAATCAACAGAAATAACATTTAAAAAAAATTTAAAAATTAAATAAACAAACAAGCCGTTCAAGTAATAAAGTAAGAAGGAGGCCAAAAATGGCATAAAACAAGCCACGAACACGAAAGGGAAGGAAAATGAGCACTCCCTATGAATGAATTTAAAGTATAATCAAATGAATTGTTTTTAAGATAGCATGGTACACAATACAAGCTTAGAAAGCTTACTTGGAATTTGCACCTGTACAGTGTTGATGACCATGTACTGTAATGTATGGATGCAAACGAAATAAACTTATTAATTGATAAAGTGTTGACGTGTGATTCCATGATTTCACATTGTTTTAATTGCTGGTTTTTTTGCTGGTTTCTTTTACTGGAACCATATGTCAAGAGTTGGCTAGTAGGTTTACTAGTAGGAGGGCTCTCCGGGCTCCCTTTGTACGGAGGGACTGGGGCTTTGTTTCCCCTCCCTCAAGAGCCCATAGGTGTTACGCCACTGAACGTTTGTAAATCAGTGATTAACTATGTCCCCCTTCCTCCAAGAGCCATAGGTGTTCGCCACGGAACGTCTGTAAATCAGTGATAACTGATTCCTTTTCTTTCTGATTGAAGTTCAGGGATGGATCCAAGATCTTTTAAATGAGAGTGCACCACAAGTTTCTTAGGATAGAGTGAAGCGAAAGAAATATTATAATGGTGATTTTCGGCACCAAATTAAATGAAGTGAAAATCATCATTTCTGATTGGAAGTACAGGGAGGGGTCCAGGACCTTTTAAACGAGAGTGCACCATAAGTATCTTAGGATAGTGCGAAGTGAAAGAAATATTATAATGGTGATTTTAGGCACCAATTATTAAATGAATTCAAAATCATCATATAGTTGAGATTTAATCTAAGTTACGTATACAGCTGTGATTTAACTCGTCTGTAGCTTCACTGTGAGTGGGGGGGGGGGGTGGGGCGTGCTAGCGTGGGAATGAGATCAGAATTTACGCTGTGTTACAAAATATTTTAACATGTTGCATTTCTATTCTATTTTGTAATTTTTTGTTTTAAAAAAAATGGCAGTGGCAAAACTGTAAAACGACCCTGAATCGTCCCCTGAAGCTATTCAAGATTTTAATTGAATTTTTGAGGTATTTTCAAATTTTTTTGAAAGACAGTGTTTCTTTAAGATTATTACCTGACATTCTTGAATTTTGGTTTATGAGTTTACTTTCTGCAGGTAAATCAACAAATACATTATCACCCATCGGTTGCCTGGGGATGTGGTAAATGGTGTTATCTTCTTGTATAATACAACCAGGTGGGGTGTATTCTGGTGGAGCATCTGGAAAAAAATGATTACATGATTCTAACAATAGTGATGTTCTTTATGCAGGTCTATACTCTTTTGTTGTGAAATTAGTACTAGGCTTGGAAAATATCAGGCATAAAGTTACCAATTATTCCAATACAATGCACATATGTATTTAAAAGTTAAGAAATGATTAGGAGAATCTAAAGTATATTAGGTAAAATCCAAAAGGTTTATGAAAAAAATCAACCCACAGGATATTAGTTATCCTACTTCTATTGTCATCATCTATGATAACATCAAAATGACCCAGTCAACAAGGACAACTGTGTGCATAATGTCAACTTTAACAACAGTCAAATAAACTTGTGAATTCTGGTATATACAATGAGTCTTTATATAACATATATTTCAGAGCTTTAAATCAAAGAAAATAACAAGATATAAAAAATGCAGATATTAAACTAGTTTAACACTACTTCACTATTATATCAGGTGATGTTTAAGTTGAAAAACCTTACCTGGTTGAAAGTAAACATTTGGTAGCCTAAAAATATAAATGATATGTAAAAATATTAATAATAAAACAATTGGAGTTCCACTAATATATAATCATATACTATAGAACCATGCAAACTGAGTCTTCCACCCAGGATTCACGCATAATATTTGGGATTTGCAATCAGATCATTGTTCAATGAATCCCTTTAAATAACATATAATTAATCACTTACACATACGGTGGACGGTCCTTTAATATTTTCTTCCTAAAACCAATTCCAACTGCTCCAAGTACAATTACAAGTGTAAGTGTAACAACAGCTAAGATTACACCAGTTGTTATACCGGATTTTTTTGGATCATCAACAGATTCCTCTAATGGCTGAGCTGGTAAGAGAGGAGAAATTTAAAATATAGAAATTTCAGTAGCAGCAATATAAATTTAATTTAGATAAACTTATCATTTATTAAATTACTGTATCTATTTGAATAAATGCTCCCTGTCTGTGGCCTCATTTAGATATTTCCCTTCCAAATTAATGGAAGCAACATCATTTATTGATGTATACTCTAGTAGAATTACATTTTTTGACATAACCTGGTTATGATTACTCAATATCTCTAAAAATAATTACTATAATATATAAACTAAACCAGATTTAATATTGCCAAAACCAAAAACTGACTACAAAAAGAGAAGTTTGTCATATAGAGGTGCCAAACTTTGGAATGAAATTAGCGATAATGTTAAAAATGTTAAGAAATTGTCCTTATTATTTTAAAAAGTATATATTAAATTGCGACATTAACTGTTAACACCTTTATGGTAGTTTCTTACATAAACTACAGTATTTTTGTTTTGTTCAAGTTTGTTTAGTGTAATTAAGTTAGTTTAAGATTTAAGTCTAGTTTAGATATTTGTGTGTTTAAACAATTGTTTGATTTGTTTATTTTAAGTCATTTTTTTTTCTTTTGATTTTCTGGTTAAATTGTTGTATACACAGCCTTGTAGAATAACAACTGTGTTAGTTGAGCCAAGTATTCCGTGTTTTAAATAAAGCTTATTATATTAATAACACATTTTGATGGTAATTATGTGTTGCTGAATTCCACATTTTCAGTGAAATTAAGGGGTACTTATTTGAGTATAATATGTATCCACTTTACACACAAAAATGGCTCCCTCATATAAACGCCCCCTCAAAAAACCTTTTCAACAATAAACTCATTTGAATAAATGTATTTTCGAAAAAAGGTGATTAATACAAAATAAATACAATAACGAAAATATAGTGTACAATAACAGCCAACAGAACAGCAGACTTTCACACAACTAAAAGCATTTCCAATCACTAAAGCAGGGCACACACTGCTTCATATAAAACTCCCCACTCCGGTCTCTGTAAGTGTTTGACGACGCCAGGCCATCTTCATCTTGTTGCAGTCCGATCAAATTAAAAACGCTCCCTTGTGCATGCCTTTTCGCATTGCATTTCTCTATGGAATCACATCTAAAACGATCATCGACACAGTGTGTGCCAGACTTAAACCTTAAAACAAAACTTGTTTAGGTGAAACTTATTTTATACCTTGTTTAGCGAACCCGCCAACTGAAAATATCGATGAATGCGAATAAAAATAAAATTTTATTTTTGACCAGTTAGTACACCCGCCGAAGCGAAAAAAAGTGGAAATTAAAATTTTTTCTTTATATTTATTATGCCCTCCACTGCCTTGAAATCCTTAAAGTTAAGATATGTATATTTCTTCCCAATTATATAAATATAAAAGCATTTAACCATCCTATTTTACATTCTTCACCAATAAAATTTTATTTTTATTTTCTCCTCCATCTGGATGATTTTGGCAAGTATTTGCTAAATAAGAAAACAAAATTTTATTTTTATTCCCCCTCCTCCGATAATAAAAAAAAAATAAGTATGCAACACAAGGTATAAAAAAAGTCTCGCCTAACGTAGATTGTAGGGTACCATGTCTGTCTTGAGACTAGTGCTACACAGTGATTAAGTTTGCTATCAATCCTTGACAAATGTGTCTAATGAATAAAATTAATTTTAACAACACCACCAATAAAAGCAATAACAACAGAACAATAGCATAATATGATATGAGAGACAATTTTAAATGTAGAAACACATTTTGGGTTTAAAGTAGAAACAAAATTAATAATTTGTACAAACAAATGTAATATTTACTTTCGATTTGAAGCTCAAAGGCAGGAACTATCTGAGTATCCCGCTTTAACCTACTACCTATCCTTAAAACAATCTGAATGGACGATGTTCTGGAATTCCACTCTTCATTTCCAACGTTTACTGGCTTAGTACCTCCGTCCGCAACTGTTAGCTCATCACTTTCTGTTAAAGACATTTCTGTGAAGAAAAAAAAGAATTGCTTATATACTTGGACAAATATTCGTGATTCATTTCAATTTACATTTCTGGAGTAAAGTTGGGTGCTATTACTTATTTTTGCACCTTTTAGGACATTTTTTTCTATAATTTTCAATGGAAAAACTGTCTTCAATTACAGTGTTCAAAAAAGAACATACCAACAGGTATACAGTACCTCCCTGATACAACACTGATAAACAAAACCTTGTTGGTGAAATCAAGCTTTCTTGTTTCCCTATAAACTAATTGGAAAACTTAATTATATGCCGATAAAACAACCATATAGGTAAAAATATTTATAACCATTTAAAGTGATGACAATTATGATAAAAAAAATGCCACAATATGAATAAGGACTTATTTCAGAGTTTCACGTTCATTAATGTTTTAACCTTTCAAACAATTTATTATTAAAATAATTGTACTTTTATCAAATTATACTAAAGGTATCTCCTGAATTCATCAGTATAAATATAGGAACTTAGATTTGATTGATTTTAGAAGGTCGGAGAAATACAGCTTCAGCAACAACAGATAAACTAATTGAAGGACAGAGGAGCATGTGCATAAAACCTAGGAAACCATCCAAGCTAGTGTTAAATCTGCTATTTTAACACCCTTCAACTCCAAAAAAAGGATTTTATATAAGACTAATAAGCTAAGAAATTCTGAATAAAATGAGAAACAATACAGTTAAAATATATTAACTGGAGTACCAGCTAAGGTAAGCAGCGTATACCTTTCATGGTACCGTATGTCGCTCAACAAAGAGTCACTTATAACTGACGTCTGTACAGTATTTACACAATGTTTCTAACTTTTGAGATGCCAATTTTAAGATGAGCTGTCCTGTTTAAATTAAACTATTGTACTTATTAGTTTCACAAAATGCTTTCAGTATTTAACTATTAAACTTATATTGTGACATATTGAAGTTGCCTAAACAAAATGTCCATTTTTGGTCAATATTATCAAGGATGTCCCTATGTGTCCTAGCAATATTTAACTCACAGATGAAGTATTAATTGACAGGTTTAATTAAGATCTTAATTAGTAATTAGTCAACAGACACAGTATAATATTTTGCTTTTGGTAACACATACGTTCCTCTTACGATTTCTTAACTTAACTTACAAAGGTATTTTGTTACCCTATACATCATTAACCTGCCACTTATTTAGTGACCATATTGAAAATATTTAAAAATGCTTTATTATACTGCTGAATTGAGCAATCTATCACTGACCGAAGTACATATCTTAAAGACACTTATAAAAGCAGCATGCATTTAGTTCAAAACTACAAGCAAAGTTGAAGTCTCTGAAGGCTAATTTTCAGCAAAATCATTCAGCAACACTCAGAGAATATGAACAGCAGTAGAGCTAGCGAAAATTTATCAGCAAATGGAGGTGTTAAGATATCAACAGAATTGGCTGTAATAGTTATTTGCTGCCTACTATTAGCAGGGACCACAAATATAATTGTTGTAATCACTATTGCAGCGACTAAAAAATTGTGGAAGAAACAGAATGTGTTCATTTCCTCCCTTGCAATGACTGACATAGTGGCCAGTGTTTCTCTATTCTCCATTATTATGCTGGAGTTGACCGAGACTCATGATTTAGAAAGTATGTTAAAAAAATTATTTGTAATAAATGTGATTTATATGTGTTCAACGACCACCTCCATGTTTACTTTAGTAGCTGTTGCTGTAGATCGTTCGATTGCTCTTGTCTGGGCGCCTTTGAAGTATGACACTATTGTGACTGTCAAACGTTGCATCTTTATTTGCATTCTCCTCTGGATTATTCCAACCTTTGCTTATTATTCAGCAGATATACAAGCAATGGCAGTTATCTTTTCAGTCAACTTTTTTACAACAATGTGCATCATAAGTTACCTGTACTTCAAAATCTACAAAAGTTTGAACCAACAGAATCCTGCAGTTCTTCAACAGAATCCAGAAGAGCTTGAACGCTCTAAGAAACTCATGAAGACTTTTTTGATCATCATTGGAGCTTTTGTGATTTGTTGGTCACCAGGCTTCTTAAACTCTGTTTTGTTTGCTCTTGGAGTTTTCAATAATTTCAATCCAAACAATAGAGATATTGTTTATTGTTTAACAATCTTAGGTATCTGCAACACCTTGGCGAATCCTCTAATCTACTGGTGGAGGCTTAAGGACTTTCGCTCTGTAATTCTTAAACATTTTCCCAGATGTTGCCAGGGAAGTCTTTTTCAAAGTCACAGAACATTATCTACAACAAACAGCATAGTTCCAGCTACTTAAAACCATAGTTTACTTTGATATAAAGTTTTAATGATTGAATATAATTTAAGTCACCATACTATTAAAATTCACCATGACAAGTGAAAACAGGTGAATTATAATAATTATAAATACAAAATGATGTAATGTAGTGAGGTGGTTAAGATGATTTCCTTCAAATCCTGGGTTCAAATTTTGTGACAGCACAAGATTATTTCTCATGACTAAGAAACATGTACACTACCAAAGCCTTTGGTTATGAAGCATCTTATTATTATTTTGGTTCTGTTTATTTAAGTGAGCCCTGTGAATATCAGCTTACCTGGAAGGGTCACCCTAAATACTAAGCAGCTGCTGAGATACAATGTGCGATGTGAGGTCTAATGGTTGTAAAACTAAAAAAATTGTGTTATAACTATAAATAATTACTGTAATAATTGTAGCCACAAACTTGAAAAATAAAGTTCTTATTCAAATAAGATTTAGGCTAAAAAAAAAAAAACTGAACAAAATGAGAGAATATCAGTAAAACAATTTCTTTGGAGAACAAAATGACAAAATAGCAGTAAACATTTTCTTTGGCGTACTAGCTAGGGAAATGCAATGAGTACCTTGTCACCAATTACTCAACAGAACAACTGACGTAATAATAAATAATACTTGTACAATGTGCTTTAACTTTTAAGATGCCAGTTTTAAGATGGGCTGTCATTTTTATTTCAACTTATTGTTTCACAAAGCGATTTTTGTTTTCATATGAGTGACACATTGAAGATTACGCCATTGAAATATTGGGCTGAAAGATGAGATACTATTAGTGAATTGACAAGTTTAATTTAAGATCATGGCTTGTAATTTGTGGACAGGTATAGTATTTCACTGGTGGTTTGACACATATTGATTAGTGATCTATCCAAGAAGGATCACACACGTTCATCTTTAAATTATGTACCACTTGGTAATCACCCTATAAATGGATTAATCTTAGCATGATCTTAGAGACTGAATGACCATACTGAAAAAAATGCTTTCAAATACAAACCGTGGAATTGCTTTCAGCTTTTTAAGATTTTTCATAATCCATTCTAAATTGAACATTTGAAAACATTTATAAAAGTAGCATACAGCTGGAACATCAAGACAAGCAAGGTTTAAGTGTTCTGAAGACTCATTTTCTTGAAGATTTGTTTTATAAAAGTGGCACAGAAATATTCTCAAACCACTAGCAAGGTTCAAGTAGCACAGAAGGCTCATTTTCATAGAAGATATTTATGAAAGTGGCAAAATAGGAACCAGATCTCAAACTCTTTACAGGCAACATTGGCACAGTAGCTCCGAAGCCTCATTTTCAGCAAAAATCATTCTATAACTACAAAATCAGCACTCAAAAAATATAAATAGCAGCAGGAGTTTTCAATATTTACAATCCAAACAACAGAGATACTATTTATTGTTTAGCAATCTTTAGGTATCTCTAATACTTTGGCCAATACTGGTGGATCAAGGCTTATTAGTACTTTCGCTCTGTGATTCTTAAACATTTTCCCAGATGTGGTCAGGGAAGTCTTTTTCGACTTTATCGATGTCACAGAACATTAATTACAATATACTGTAGAGCATAGTTCCAGCTAATTAAACCATAGTTTATTTTGATTTAAATTATTAATGACTGAATAAAATTTGAGTCACCAAACCCCAAAAAGTAGTACTTAAACAAACCAGTGCTAAATCTGGCATTCAACGCCATCTGGCGTTGAAAATAATGACCTTTCATTGTAAGCATTGGATATTATTGTTCCATTGAATCAATAGACAAAAGATGGTTGGCATCGATACACTACCATGCATAAATTATAAGCGGCTGGCTGAGATACACTCTGAAATGCGATAGGCCTATGTTGTAACTAAAAATTACTATAATAACCCAGCTAACAATATTACGTTATAAGAACGTTACAGTTTGGTGTTACAAAACGTAATTTTGTACAACCATACGTACTTATAACCTAATTTTACAACCTCACAACATTTGAACGTTCCTCTATATTGCGTGAAGGCTATTTTGTGACATACCAAACCCCAACATTTGCTTACATTATAAGAATGTTTTGTGTTTGCTGGGAATAACAATCATTAAAATTTAAAAATTGTGGCCACCAACTTCAAAGAATTTTATAAAAGACTGAAAATGCTAAACAAAATGATCACAAAATCACAAATAAAAAAATTCTTAGGAGTACTAGCTGGGAAATGCAACTTGCAAAATCTGTCACAAATTACCCAAACAGCCAGTATAACTGACATAATAATAACAATAATAATAATAATAATAATAATAATAATGATAATATTTGTAAAATTTGCTTTAGAGATGCCAGTTTTAAGATGAGCTGTCATTTAAGTGAGAGTTATGTATGCATATATTGTGAAGACACACTGAAAATCATGCCTAAACAAAATGTCCACTTGGGTCAATAAATTATCTAGAAATGTCCCAGATATGTCATTGCAATTGGCTAGCAGATACAGTAAGCTGCTATTAGTCAATTGATAGGTTTAATTACATCTTGGCTAGAGATTGGCGAACAGATATAATATTTCATTGGTGGTGACACAGTTGGCTGATGATATACTGTATCTATCACACAAGTTCATCTTAAAATTATGCATCATTGGGTACTATACTGGATTTAGACTTATTTAGTGAAAA